TCCTTGAATTATGATCATCTGAGAGACATTTCCTCAATCTTTTGTCATTCAATATTTTTTCTATTAATAAACACAAATTTTCTTTTCCTCTATATGTCAATAGAAATAGTGAGTAGTCGGTGAAGACATTTACACACAAGATTGAACGTTGAATTTTCGATATACGGGGTGCTAACAATCTGTAGATGGCGCCCGACCAGCGTGCACTGACAATTAGAGTTGATTTGCATATAGAGATATTCATAAGCCTTTTCATCGTTGTCGTTTGAAAATTCGGGATCAGATTTCATAATAATAGAAAATGAATAAATAAAAAAATAGACAACGATGGCACAAGGGTTACAATGACAGAAAAAATAACGCTACCATTAACCGCGAGTACAGCGGTGTGACTGTGTGATCCGGCCGCGTTTGTTGCGATGCACTTGTATTTTCCAGCATGTCTCGCCGAAACACTGTCGATGCTTAAAAAGCTCACTCTTTTATTATTGTTAATAATTGTAATGTCATAACGATCGTGATGACTAACCGGCTCGTCATTGAAACTCCACGTCAAGTTGACTGGCAAATCACCCTTGACAATTGTGCAGGACACGGAGAGCATTTCACCAGAATTGAGGGGATCATCCCCGAATGAAAATTGAAGTACTTGCGGCGCGACTATGAACATATTCAATGATTTTCATGAAGAATTTAACGACGAAGAAGTTCTATTTTTTCACAGCATGAGGGAAAACAAGTTGAACAGCCAAACATCGGTATTTATTCCATTTGGTCGATTGTATCTGAACCGAGGATGTGCGGTGGAAAGGCGTAATGCAAATGAAAATCAATCAAGTATAGAAAAAGCTCATCTCAATGCAAGAATTTTATAGTTTTTTCATCCATATCTTTCAAAACTGAATGAAATTCATTAAATAGACATATCGTAGACTTTCGGCCGAAAAGTCGTATCAATATTTTTCTTAATTCGTCGGAGAATGTGTGCCAAAAGGTCGTACATTGTGTGATTCTCTATTAATTTTGAGCCAATAAATCGTACGCACATTTTCATGCGCAACGATAAATTTTGGATCTTCTTATCTATGCAACAAGTGAAATTGATTAGCTCTTCTAATCGCATACCAATTATTCAATGAGAATAAAAAATGAATAAGATTTCTGGTATACTAGCACATCCACTCCTGTTAATATTTTCAACCCCTGTTTAACCAAATATAGTCTAAATGATTCAGAATCAAAGAACAAGGCGTAAATCATTTAAAATTGTTGAAAACTAGGGAACAAAAATGTTCTCGTAAAAGCATGTGCCGACGATTTGGAATCCTCGGAAACACCGAGCTTCTTATTCCATAAAAAAGTCGATACGACTTTTTGGTTGGAATTTCCTTAGAAAATGAAAGGAAAATCTTTCTCCGCGTCTTTTCTTTAGGCTAGACTGACTAAAAAAGGTCTCAGAATATTATGATGATTGATAATAATTTCAAATGGCGGAATTCTCTATTATTTGTGACTCGAATTTCCCGAGAAGTTATAAAAAAGATTAATACGGTCTTTTGGTCGAAAGCACGCGAAATCTATTCAACTGATATTTAAGAAATGTATACCTCTTTAATTTCACGAAAATGTATATTCTTGAGTGGAGATGATTTTTCCACACAAAATACTAAAACTAAAGAGACTCATAACAAACAATACGTTGAGGATATATAAGCAACGTATCATGAACGGACTATTTGAAACCGCAAACCGTTAACTGTAAGTTGTGTCGTATATGATGAAGTTCCTGCCGCGTTCTCGGCCGTGCAAACGTAATTCCCTGCGTGTTTAGCTGTTATGACTGATATCATTAACATGCTAACACGATCCGCGACTTTCTTAGTTATAACACCAGCTGAACCACCCATTTCTTCCCCTGGATAACTCCATTGTATCATCAAGGGTAAATCACCAGTTGGTACAATACATTGGAGATTTGCAAACTCTCCAGCATTCATTGGTAGTTTGGTGAATGCGAAATGTTGTACTGCTGGTTTCACTGATGGAAGGCAATATTTAGACTAGAATTTCGATAGAGATTATCATTGAGAGTGCGGAGCATCAATTGAAGCTTTCGAGACAACGAATACAATTTGTAGTTGAGGATATTCTTCCGCAAGTATAAATGTTCAATGAGAAAAAATACTATTAAAGAATAATTGAAATGTTCTGCTCGCCTCCTGAATAGAGGGTGTTCGCTGCGAGTTGTTACCACCTGCTATTGCCAATCTGTTGGATTCATAAAATGATTCTCAGAGCTAAATTGCCCTTTCCAACACTTTACGCATTTGTCTCATTTGTAAATATTGTCTATACCCAAGCCGCCGGAAGAAGCACTATTCAGGCCGATTTTAACCTTGGTGGGTTAATATTATACGCTATTGAATCTTATGAAATGTTCTTCTTAAAGTCATCAGTAAATTCATGGCAATGATTTGAGTATCATATTGAATAGAATGCTGTAAATAATTCGCAACAATATATTGGGAACTTACGTTGTTTGGCTGAAAGAAACAATTATTAATTGGATAACAAGAAAGATGATAAGAGTGATCGACGCTCTTTTTCCATTCGAATGATATTCAATGTACTCAAATATTAAAAATAATAAACAATAAAAAGTGTCAACTTAAGGATGTTCTGCACGTATAGTCAAAAGAAAAAAAGAAAAAATGGCCCTTGCTATAATTCGTTACATTTATCGCAATGAATTTTCAATTAATGTTCTAATGCGTTAATTAGTTGAAATGATAGCCGTAGAAAATTATTATATTGTATTTGATTTTATGAATAAATATTATATTGTTTAGACAAAGTAATGGAAAAAAAATTAGTCAATCGTCATGGAACTTTTACCGTCATCTCAAATCAACAAAATTTTCTATTTTGGACTATATTTAGAGAAATTTTCCTTTTCCCCATAAGAGGCCGGATTAATTAAAAACGTTAATAATTAATAACCACGAAATGGTGTTGTGAATCAATCTCAAATTCTATACAGACATCTGTTATCGCTTCAAAACCATTATGTCAAAATTTCAAATAATTTTTATATCTTCGCCAATACGTGCAAAACAACCTCAATTATTTTTTAAGGTGAAGCAGTCTTCTCTCGAAAACGTTTGGAAATAGATGCTTCACCATAATTAGTATATTACATACCTAGGCTAGTGAAAGAAGAAACGCCTGGAATCACATGTTTGTCAGCCTCGGCTTCGCCACAACCAACAAGTTCATGTGATCTGAGACATTCCTTTTTACTGGCCGAGGGGTGCATACAATTTTTCTAGTCGTAGAGTGAAAAATAATAATTGATCTTAATATTGATAGTTAAAAGTGTCATGTATGTTCTTATTACATAACTTTTTTTAATCGTAAATCAAAGTGTTTTTTCTTGCTTTTCTATTATAATGGTAAGGCCGATCTTTTATGCTTTTCAATACTTAGTTTCATTTGCGGAATGCTAGTAAAGAAAAAACTGCATTTATATTTTTGTATTTACATTCAAATATTCGTGTGCTCACTCTTATCAACTCATGTACTTGCAAGATCCGGACATAATATTATATAATCGATGAATTCTACCAAACATTAACCTAATATTTATCAAATGAGCGGAAGAATATTTTTCCGTCAAGTACATAATTTATTGCCTTTCGCATTTTTTGTGAAACTAATCTGGGAATGAGTATTTAAATCCTTTTTCTTCAATGAAGCTAACCAACATGTTTTTAATTTTAAAATAAAAATTCAAAACTGTTAATGAATTGTCAAAGACTGATGGAGGTGCAATTCTTCTTTGTTCATGCAGAACAAAACAGAATTGAATTAAGGACCACATGGACTATCCAACGTAATTTGTTGCTCAAATTTTATCTTGTTAGCCTCGAATATAACTCAAATGAATTAATTAAAACTCAATTTGGAGAAAGTACAAAAAATAATGAAAAATACGCAATTTGCCATGGGTAATATATATCCATCAGCCGCCATGATAAAGAGAAAGAATACCTTTGACAATCTTTGCCCCCCTGCAATAATTTTCCTCTTTTTTATCATAATTTTTTAGTCATTCGTATACCAGGTTTTAAGATATTTTCAATTAACAAGATAAAATCCAAACAATAAATTACGTTCGATTAATAGTCCATGTGGGCCTTACCGTAAATTTCACCTCAATTAAATTGACTATTTCTTTTTGAAAATGATTCATATCGATAGCTTAATAACAGAGGAACGCACATATCGAAAATTTATTGAAATGTTGTTAATGCAAGTTAAATGAGACCTTGAATATCTTGTTCCATGCTTCATTGCGTAGCATGTAGCAAGTGGAGTTTAACACACGGTCCGTTTAACACTCGCGTGCTATAAAGCTTACTGCTGCGTAACATGGCATAATATTATATTACGATACAAGTGAAAAAATAGTGATTTATGGCATGAGGCCTTCCGTACACATTATGATTCGATTCGTCAGAAAAAGACCTTTCAGGCCATATAGCGTAGATTGATTCCGAGTTCGACGAATGCTAAATGTATGTACTTATACTCTTATTAAGCTATCGATATAATTTGAAGTGATGGTAAAATAATGAAATAAAATCTGTACACTTACCCATGACTTGAACTTCAAGTGTACCACGTGCTGAATATCCTTGGGCATTCCTTGCAACACATGTGTAGGTCGCTTGATCACTCTGCCTTTCAACATTCTCGATGATGAGTGTGCCATTGGGAAAAACTTTCTGCTTTCGGTTGATTGGTAGCACACGGTTGTCACGCTCCCATACAGTGCTCTCAATGGGATAACCAGCTACTGGGCAAGTTACGCGAAGAGTTTCACCAGCTACGATCGCTTTTTTGTCCATGTGACGGATGAATGGAAGACCATACACGTTGAGACGAGCAGAATGTTCAGCTGCACCAACCTAACAAATTGGATTCGTTAAAGTTCAAGTAATTGCGGGCACACTCATTTTTTGGTGGTATCATAAATACTTTGAAAAGTGGATAATAAACGTGAGGAGAGATGATAATATTTCCAACGTCAATTCTACACCGAGAAAATAAATGTCTTTTAACAATTGCATCTTTCCTTTTATTAAAAAACATCATCAAGCATTCCTAACAAAACGATGCCTTGTACTGAGAAAAAAAAAATTTAGGAAAGAGATTTAATAATTTGTAGCAAGAAACTCATGACTCAAAAAACTTAAAAAAAACTGCGTGTCAAGAAAATATGCAGTTTTTCAACTGTGGTAATGTAAAAATTAGTTGACTTGGTTGGAACAGTCGGGTTCTTGTTGTCAATTAATTGCTCATAATTCTGCGAAGAAATACAAAATCTGCAAAAACTAAACTTTGGCTAAAGTTTTTTCTCTCAGTGTAAGATATCGTTTCCTTGAAAATTTTTGAGTATGGCTTTCTTCATACAAGTAAAGACCTACTCTTCAAAGAAAATTTGGAGCACGTTCGAAAAGTTTAAAGCAAGGATATATTCCTGAGCGTTACCATGTTGCATTTTTTTTTTCAAGTTTTTAGTAAAGTATTGACGCGATTGAATCGGAAAAATAGATCTTTTTTGAGTTTTACCATTATTTAGTAGTGTACGGAGTGTTACATGGTGCAACAGTTTTTCAAAACTTTACATAAATTTACTATAGTTCAGAAGAAATATAGAAAAATATTAAAGAATATGAAAGTTGATGGGTTATTTAAAAGAGGGTAAACTTCAATAACAGTCTACTTTCCGCATTGACATGAACAATGATGAAGTGCCAGCAATATAGTAAAGATTTCATACCTTAGATCCGGCAATACATTTGTAAAGTCCTCCATCATTTGTGTGAATGCTGGATATGTTCAAATGTGAAACAACATCTCCGTTGACCTTAACGTATTGTCCAACTTGTAGCCTCTCAGTATTTGACAGTCGTTTTCCATCAAGCTCCCATGTAATTTCAGGGGTGGGATTACCACTCGCAACACACTTCAAGAACATGCTGGGCCCTGGCTGTAATGTTTCCTCAGTAAACGCTTGCTTAATCTGCGGTGGTTCAAACCGTCCTCCCAATTTTAACTCAGCTGTAGCTTGCGCACTCTCCTGATCATTTCTTACAAAGCATTGATACATTCCCTTGTCCTCCTTCTTAACACTATCAATTCGTAGTACCAACTCCTCATGTCCAAGGGGCTTTCCATCTTTCATCCATGAAACAGTTTTAATGGGATTGCCTCGTACATTACAAGTAAATGTTGCAGGTCTTCCGAAGTCAACAGTTTGGGTACGAGGTTCAATTTCAGCTCCAAGTGGTGCTGTTACAGTCAATACCGTCTCGACACTCTCACCGCCAACTGAATTGTTAACAATGCAGAGATACTTTCCAGAATCTTCAACTCGGGCCTCACGAATTATCAAGGTTCCGCTGACTTGACGTATGCGATCATTCAGCTGTACTGGCTGTCTACGTGTTGTCCCATTGAGGAATTTGTACCATCTGTAACAAAGAGCATAACCGTACAGTTAAAAATAGTTAAACATTCGTCAGGTCCAGTATTCTCGATTTCTTCATGTCTTGCCCTGACCGATAACGCGGCATTTTATTTAGTCCGATAACTCTCGTTTGAATGGATGTACGAATGAGTTTAATGACAATTGCTTTTAGAATAAGTACGAAACGAAAACTAACGACACGCCATATTGCGTGTGTACCTAGATAGAGGTGCAGGGAATCCTTGGGCGGCACATACAAGGGCCAGTGAATCGGTTTTAACACCAATGTTTTTATTGAGACCATCTCCAGTACTTTTCGGTGCGGTTTGGCCAGATGGTTCTGAAATTTTAATCATCCAAGGCATCTTTTCATCGTCCAGTTATTTCCTAATAATCATTTTGCATCCTTGTTGTTCCTGTATATTCTATATATTCACTCAGGATAATTACACTCTAAGTACTTACCAACAGTATTTGTACACCTTGGCCTCCCTCAGTTATCGTTGTAAATTGTTAAATTATACTAAATTTATATCTTACCTTAAATAAAGCGGCAGAATATCCATGATCATCTTCTCTAGCCTCTTCATACATCGATTAGCAATTAATTTAGTTGCAAAAATAAGTTGAGAAAATTTCAATAAAAGATTCTGAAAATAGTGATCAAATGGCCGTGTTTCGCAAGAAATATCTACAAGCAAGTTTTTTCTTTTGAAATAAATATGATACTTTGACATGCATTCCGTGGGAAGCCGAAAAAAAAACAATTATTAGGGTAGAGGGGGCTTCAAATCAGTGACTTGTGGTAAATAAATGATTACTGCTTTAGTCACGATAATCGGACGAGATAGGGGGAACAAAAAATGCCGGCAATATTATGAAAATTTAAATATTGCTGCGCATACGTAAGTTAAATGGAGGATGGATTACTTTTATATTATTCTACCTTATCGATCAGTCTGCAAGATAGGAAAAATACTAAGCTTATTGACGCCCCATTTCAGTATTGTTCACTATTCCTAGGCTAGGTACAATTTTGCATATGGTTCTGGTTTCATACGTTAATGAATTCGTCAGTATATTAAAAAAATGTTCATAACATTAGCTACATTTTTTTGTTCCCTTCATCTAATCCGATTATCCTAATAATATCAGTGAGTGGAGAATACACTGTTTTGGTACTTGAGTGATCCATTGATTGGGGTCAATTTCAAAAGCTCTCTGAATTTGACTGCAGTATCACTGATCTACTGCCTACTTCTGATGAGAATCCCCTTCTTCTACTGTAGAATTTGATGCAATAAGAGTGGAACTTTGTAGTATTGTGGAGTGACTTATATAGGTTGATGAGATGGAATTATACTATTAGTTCAGAAGATACACCGAGAGAAAAATTTGCTCTACCGGAAAATAGTCATTCTGCTTAAAAATATAGATAAAGCAATCCATGCCATCTCGGCCAGCCCATGACCTCGATCCCTCAGATTTTGATCATAACTTCTTATGACGTTTAGCTGATTGAGAAAGTACTCTCGATTTTTGAAAATTTTTTCTCTGATTAGTTCTTTTTTTATTCAAGCTGAAAGCTAGAAAAAGAACGCCATACTCAAGATAATATTTGAACCCTTGGAGTTTACTTAGAAATACGTTTACTCATAGATGCTATTGCTAAATTTTCGAGCAGAAATAATGAACTTTTCACTGGAATGCTTCTTCAGCGTAACTATTTTTTTGAATCCAAAAAAGTTTAATTTTTCCAGTTAACCATGTAGTTTTGTAGCAATGCAAATTTCTTCTCTCCGTATATTTTAATCTTATCCATTTGGCACAACTCTTCTTTCATTAACAAGAATCAACCGAGCGAAATAAAATTTGTAACGACTTTAAACTTAGTCAAATAAGGAATTAATCAAGAGGGAATGTCGGTGAGTTTTGAAAGTTGTCGGTAGAGGTAGGAACGCATTAAGCGACTTAATCATGGGATATGTTAAAAAGTGGAAAAAATCATAACTTTTCAGCTACAAAAAGCTTCTCTATACTACTGTTCTTAAGTGATTTACATTTTTTTTTGTTGTATCAGTTTTACGATCCGTCAATTAGATAATTAAAAAATCGAAAAATAGAATGAAATTTTCTAAAAGTTTTTTTTCTTCATAGCATTCGTATTCTGTCACAAAAGTCTGTGCAAGGTAAACTTCTGCGCTATAATACGAACGCTATGAACAAAAAAAAAAGTAAGAATAAATTAATCGGATGGAAAGTGGGGCACGAGGAAACTTTTGTGGCTGATACTATAGAAAAAGTCTTTTTTCGGAGATGAATGCGGCAAAATCGATTAGAATCATGATTTTTTCCATTTTTATTACATCTCTCAAGCTCTACCAAAAACTTTCAAAGCCTCTCAGCATTCGTCTTTAGAAGTAAAAAAATTTGACATGAAGGTCAGCATGGACAATATAAAACCGTAATCTTTAGTTTGAATTCAATGTTGTTAGCCTAAAATATATAAAAATCGGGGGATGCAAATTATGTTGTAGAAACCAGCCAGATGGTTATAAAGAACAGAATTGAAAAAAAGCTTCGATTTATTCAATTTTTCCTCTTTTTTTCATTACATTTTCATAACCACTGGAGTGATTTCCGCAACACAATTTGAGTCCCGAATTTTGATCTATTTTAGATGACGTGCGATAAATAGTCCATGCGTGCCTTAAATTGAATAATTTTCCGGGATTGATTGGAACGAAACATAAAAGAAGAAAAGAGAACGAGGGGCGACGGAGGAAAGGAGTACCTGGTGATCGGAAGGGGATGAGCCTGGAGCGAATGGCCGAATGCTACGGTTTGACCCATAGGTATCTGAACAATTTCCCAGCCCTCATACTTTTTTCCCGTTGTACGCGGTGAAATGTCAACACTCCCCTCTGTGGAACAGAGAACAGAAAATGCATCACACTAACGCGAAAAGGGGGTCAAGGTTATTCTACCTTGTAACTGGAACAGGCGACCCCTGCACCGCACAGTGTAATGCTACTACTTTGTATATCATCACCGTAACCAGTTTGCCACCCTCGTAACGCTCACCAGCGATTCGTGGCTGTACGTTGCTGTTTGGTTCTGTAAGGTGTTATTTTTACGGCTTGAGTAATTGCATTTTCCATCTAAAGGAAGAAACCTCAACTGACGAGACAGGATACCCATTCAAAGTAATAGAAAATTTCAAACTCAACTAACACAAATCAAATCTCATATAGATTTAGATTATCTGATTCGACGTTTCTATAATTATGCGTTGTTGCTCATTCAGATTAGCCTCATATGGTTTAAGAAAGAACAATGTCCAATTGTTTCAAGTTGTAATTATCAACAACTATTAGCAGTTTAATAAGAAGTACCGAAATTTTGTAGTAACATATGGGAAATTCCAGCTCAATTGAGGAAATCGTGCGACTTCATAGGCTTTAGTTTTTTTCACGTTCACAAAGGATATGGATATGGTCTTTTCTAAACAAGCATTTTGATTTTCGATTTTCCTTTTTTTACTCTATTATGGTTCCCAAGTTATGACCATAGAAAATTTTGAATGTTTTAAAAATTGGATTTTATTCAAAAAATAATATCTTTCGAGTGAACTACTATTTTTGAGTAACTCAGCAGCGAAAATGAATCGTCGCAATGTGTACTTTTTGAATAATTTATGCAAAAGAATTTTCAATCTGAAAAAAACATTTTTTTCGCATTCGAGAATGTCGAAAACTCATAATTTTTCGAATATGCCCATTTTTTTTTATTGAACAAAATTGAGTGTATTCGAGCGTCTAGAATGGAAATTGTAAGCCATTCGACATAACGGGCAAGTCATTACTACGGTGATTGGGTGAAATTGAAAACAAAATTTTGCAATTAAATTGGAGAAAAATGTAGTCTTGTTTGTGCATACACGGAGAGAAATATTTAGTAAAAATTACGGAACTTTCAGTTCACTTATCGATTACGGAGTTAATTCGAAAAATTTAAGTGACGGTATCGTTATTTTTCACCGATAATTCAGATAAAAATTACGGAACACCGCGGAAAAATTCCGTGACTTTAGATAAAAATTACGTGACAGTTCCGTAAAATTTCCAACAACCACATTTCGCTCCAGAATTACGGAAAATACACGTAATTTTTATTGAACAATTCTCTCAGTGTAGGTTATGTGAGTGAATAATTAACTTGAGACTATGAAGATTGTGAATTCAGTGCTTCTTATTCCTCTTTGACTTTGAACTTGTTATAGAAATGGAGTTCTCAATTGTGCAAACGTCAAAATTCGCTGGATTGGAAAAAGTTTTGGTGTTAATAACACGTCAATCTGTGAAATGATGAATCGGAATTTCTTCGACCCAGAGATTGTCTTTGGATTAGCCGAGGAATTCTGATGCTGAATCTTAGCTTCTTAATATTCAGGGTTGGACCTGTAAAGATTCTTTCCTTATCGTATACCCTTTCGCGTTTTCACGATGGTATATGCTACGTCTCTGCTACATATGTGCCATGTATATACCAAAAGGAAGCCAATGATCATAATAATCATGGCCGCGAAAGCCTCAGAACAAAGTTTGTTGATTAATTTTGACTTCTGTACGCTATGTGACCTAATGCTAACTGTCGGCCCCAATGCCACCATATTGAATTTTTTCCGTGGATAGTTCGAGAGTCATTACAAACTACAGTCATTGAATGAAGATCATGAAGATGAACGTGAAGTGCCATTCGATATGATTACCTGAAAACTGGGAGAGGATTTGCTTGTGCTTGGCATAACATCGTCACCAAAGAATTTCGAATCGCCGAGAGAACAGTAATTTTCGCTGTCGGTGGAACACGCGGAGCTGCCCCATTGATTGGTTCTACAAGGATTATGTTGATGAGTAAATTATAGTTAAAAATTACCTGAATGGTGGGAATGGATATTTGGAAAATTAACGCATTATTGAAGAACTGATAAAACTGATCCAC